CCTTCCTCCCTCTCTCCCTTCCTTCCTTCCTTTCTTTTTTTTGAGTAAGCTTTATTGTAAAAACACAAACCCCCCTGCAAATAAATAAAAACATCACCTACCAAAATTAATGAGACTCAAAGACTGTCCTTCCTCCCTCTCTCCCTTCCTTCCTTCCTTTCTTTTTTTTGAGTAAGCTTTATTGTAAAAACACAAACCCCCCTGCAAATAAATAAAAACATCACCTACCAAAATTAATGAGACTCAAAGACTGTACAATTCAGTGAACTTCTGTACAGTTAGTGTTTACATTTCTTTATTTATTTTTGTTTTATATTTAAGAGGGTTTGCATGCATGTTTGAGCACTCATGCATATCTGGTGCCAGTGGAGGTCCCCTTTGGCCTGGAGTTATAGACACTTGTGAGCCTCTGTGGGAATTGAATCTAGGTCATATAAGAATGAGCACTTAACTCCTGAGCCATCTCCAGCCCTTCTAGATGGTTAGAATAGGTGTTCAGAACAGAAGCTGTGAAGCTCCACTTTCAGAATACTCTCAGTATTCGCTATACTTTCAGTACTGAATCTGCTGTATACATTTACCCACCACCCAACCCAAAAACCCATGACAGAGTTAGACCCAGAAAAGTAATCAGCTTATATTCCCTTTTATAATTTGTGTCCAGCCCATTCGTCCTTCATCTCCTTATATATAGCCTTTCTTGTTCTCTTCATGTTATGCTATACCACATGCACCTTCATTTCTATATATACAGATATCATTGGTTAGATTCTGCGTATGAGAGAGAACTGGGATTTCTTTCTGAGAGTGTGTGACTTTGTTATACATTCTAAGTCTATTCATTTTCCAACAGATTTTTAAACTTTATTTTTCTTTAAAGCTGAGTAGTATTCTATCGTGTGTGTGTGTTTGTGTGTATGTGTGTATGCACTAAATTTCCATTATCCATTCATCTGTTAGTGGCCAACTAGGTTGATTAAGGTTCTTTGTTAGGCTAGTCTTTAAAAATAGAGATAGGTGGGAGGTAGAGATAGTCAGATCTCTGTAAGTTTGAGGCCAGCCTGGTCTACATAATGAATGCTAGGACAGTCAAGATTACATAGAAAGATGCTGTGTCCAAAAAAAAAAAAAAAAAAAAAAAAAAGGAACTGGAGAGACAGCATTAGTTACTCTTGCAGAGGAACTGGGTTCTGTTCCCAGCACCCATTTGGCGAGTTACATCTATCTGTAACTCCAGTTCCAGGGCATGGGTCATTCTCTTCTGGCCTGTACAGATACTGTACCTACATAACTTGTAGACAGAACACTCAGACACATAAAACAGAATTAAAAAGATAAAAATAATGTCATGAAGTTTCTGTTAAAAATGTACTCATGTGAACTACAGATTATACAGTATTTGCAGTAGTAACCGAGCAGACCTTTTAAATTCATGTTAGGCCCCAGGGTTACATTCTGAGATTCTGCTTCTAGTGTTTTCAAGGTACTGACCATTGAGGAATCTATTTTTTAAGGGTGATAGTCTTTTATTTTTCTTTCTAATCTAATTGGTTGGGAATTTCATATTTCTGCCTTTATATGATAGAAATCTTGTATTTTCTCACATTCTTACTGTTCTCTTTTTTTCTTGATATTTATTGTTTGTCTTAGGTAACTGCTTATAGTTTACAGTTTGCTGTACTAATTCATCAGATTTTAAAAGTATCACTTACCAATTAAATTTATAAAATCCAACATAGTACTGTTTTTTAATTTTTTTATATCAATTCCCTTTAATCTTTCTGTATTCAGGGATTTCTTAAAATGTGATAAGAAGTCACTTAAGTATTAAGATAACACATCACCAGATTTACTTGGTGGTTTCTTTATTTACATTGTACAGAAAGTTAAAATAGTAATTGGGTATTTAGAATTGGAACACTTTGAGTGTATTTTGGTGGCACTGTTATTTAGATTTGAAGGCACAGGATGGGAGCCACCTGTTCAGGGGGTAACTAAAATCTGCTTCTTATGTTTTTAGAGGCTTCGTGATGGAGTGATCAGAGACATTGAGAGGCAGAATCAGAAAAAAGAAAACATTCGTCTTTTGGGAGAACAGATTATTTTGACTAAGCAACTTGAAGCAGAAAGAGAGAAGATTTTGGAGAAAGGATCTCAAAATACCTGACTTTGAGAAGCCGATGGGGCAGCATTGAGTTGGTGTGTGTAACTGTGGGCGTGGTGTGTTGGTAGAGAATAGCTAGTGAGAGCTGTCCCCCAAGATCACTCTCCATTTAAACTTTGTTAAATGAAGGACAGTGGACCCTGTCTTCTGAATTGCTTCTTTAAAGAATCTGATCTGTCTGGATAGAGTGCCTGTGGGCAGATGTTCCTCTGAAGGTCTGTCTGGGGGATTCCTGCAGCAGTGCCTGTCAGCTTAGGAGTGCATGTGAGCAGGGGATGATGGATAGTGGCATCCACCTGAGTGGTCTCCTAAGTCGGCATGACGATGAAGCCACAAGAACATCCACCTCAGAAGGGCTGGAGGAAGGTGAGGTGGAGGGAGAGACTCTCCTAATTGTGGAGTCGGAGGATCAGGCATCAGTGGACTTATCTCACGACCAGAGTGGGGATTCCCTCAACAGTGATGAAGGAGATATATCGTGGCTGGAGGAGCAGCTGTCGTACTTCTGTGACAAGTGCCAAAAGTGGATCCCAGCCAGTAAGGAGCTTCTCAATTCCTTTGCTTGGTTGATCCCTATGTGATGGCTTGTTTCCAGTCTGTGAAAAACACTAATAAAATAGACTTGAATAAAAATACAATTATATTTATTATTATTAGTCTAGTTTACCAAATGTAAATTTTACAAGACCACATTTTTTTGTTTTTAGTTCTTTAAAACAGTCATTTATTTTATATCTGTGTGTATGCCTGAGTGTATGTGCACCATGTGCATGCAGTGCCTGCAAATGTCAAAGAGACATCAGATCCTGCAACTGGAGTTACATGTGGTTGTGAGCCACTGTGGGCATTAGATACTGAGCCTGCATCCTCTGCAAGGAAATTAAGTGCTCTTTGCTGAGCCATCTCTCCAGCCCCACAAAACCACATTTATATTAATAAGAATTGCCCACCACTATCCCATTGTTAACATTCTGGATATAGTAGTCCAAGAGAAATTAAGAAGCCTGTATAACTTAAGTCTTTGGCCACATTTTTCTAACAAGATCATGCTGTGGGTTGGGGGACACATTCTGTTGCCAGAATTCAGGTTCTGTGAGTTATTTGACATTCGTGAAGTACTGCTATTGTCTTCTGAGGGAAGGTTAGAATTGCCAGTCCAATGGTGTTTGGTTCCTGCCTTTAGACCATGCTTGTTTTCCACTGGGGAACTCTTATTCTGGGAGGAGTTACAGTGCACAGATCTGGAGGGTTCCAGCTGCCAGCTTCATAGCATGCTTTGCCAGCCCTCACGATTCTTTTTGTGTGTGTGTGTGTGTGTTTTTGAGACAGGGTTTCTCTGTGTAGTCCTGGCCGTCCTGGAACTCACTCTGTAGACCAGGCTGGCCTTGAACTCAGAAATCCGCCTGCCTCTGCCTCCCAAGTGCTGGGATTAAAGGCGTGCGCCACCACTGCCCAGCAGCCCTCACGATTCTTAAACAGCATTTTCCATTAGCCATGAGAAAAGGCATGTGTCCTGGAGGATTGCTTTGTGTAAGAGTTCATAGCTAGTGCAATGGAGCTTGTAACCCTCAGTGAGGTTGGTCATTTTCTGGTATGTTGAAGCTTTTGTTAAAAATGAATTAAATTGTTCAAATAGCTACTGTAAGTAGGTTAATAATAGCAGTGCTTAGAAAACAAACCTAGAGTTGACTAGTTGGCTGGTGTTTGTTTCTCAACTGTCTAGTAAAAATTCTGGCTTTCCCATTGTCCTCCAGGGTAGATTTTTTTTTTTGGGGGGGGGGGGGGGTGGGGGCAGGGTTTGTGGGTTTAGCCCGGGCGGGC